TTGGGAACCACTGAAGTAGAGGCTCTGTAACTCTGTAATATGCTCAAAATAGCCTTTAGTGGGCTTGTGAACAGCTCTTGTTGAATAGGGCACTTTTTTTAACACTACAGGCCGCCCTATAATGTTTTTGACCATTTTCTTCACACTTTGACACTTTCATAGAAGCTGACCCCTTAACAGAGATCCCAAGTGGTATAAGTTACAGTATTGAGTCTCTCATGTATCTTTCAAATACACCCGCTCTTACTTAAACTGCTTGAGTAAGTTTTAACTGTATCCCTGTTCGTTTAGCCTTCTTTTATCTGAAGTAAGTTGTTGGGGAGAATTGTTAATATATTTTTTGCAAATTTAAGTGGTAGGCCAGCTCTCATCCTATACTAAACAAATCTCAGAAGATGGCCTAGTCTACAAAAACATTGAGGCCATTACATTAAAAGACACCTAATGTTTTTCTAAGAATTTTTAAGAACACAACATACAGAGTCATCATTCAAAGTAGAACAGATCTAAGGTAAAAAAAAATATTCACTGCTGTCAAGGTCTAAATGCAAATAAAAGAATCTCTATAAGACAAAGCCAAGGCAAAGCTAATTCTCTGCAAGTCTGCAAGGAAGGGTCTAAATTTTAGCTATAGGCAATACTGCTCTGATAATGATTCATCACCTGCAGGTACTACATATGGTTTTGCTGTAAAGCCTTTACTGTTCTGAATATCGCACTTTGTTATTTGAATTAAACTCAGCATTGCTAATTAATAATCAGGGTAGAACCTTAGAGATAGCCTTAAGATACTATACACATCAAGGTAATTTTCTTAATTTTTTCAATGACTTTTCTCTGTATTTTTGGAGGGAACCAGAGTTCACAAACTGTTAGAACGACAGATTTGGTAACGTTAGAATTCCGGCATCTGTTTTGAAAGTATTTTCATAGTTCCTAAATCTTAATCACAAACAAGAAGTAAGGATAAATGCATCTTGCCACTTCAAAATATCATGTTAACCACCTGAAAAAATCAATGCAATAGGTACTGTATGCTCTGTGCTGATTTGATAGAATAGACTGTTTTGGAGCTAAACTTACCATAGTCTTCCTGAAAGCTTTGAAATTTAATGGAATTATCAAAGTATTATTGATCAATAGCACAACACGATGATCAAATGGTTACAGAACCATGCAAGTTATTTAAAGAGACTTGAATTGAATGATAGATGCTGCTTTATGAATTTAATAAAATGAACTAACACTATTTGCAAATGGGAGTAATATAGCTTGAGCAAAACAGAAGAAATAAAAAACTGAGTTTAAAGTAGCAATAAAAGGCAATAATATAATATTAAAAGGATTACCTTAACAACTTAACAAATAAAGATTAACAAGATACATTTTAGATACAAGATTTTAGGTGTATTAAGAAATATTCATTGGAATGATGCAAAAACTGACTTGTTAAAAATGATACAGGGCCCTGACATATTCTGTGCTATATTTACTCCTTTGACTCTGTCAAGTTGTGACACATACTAAAAACTGGGTTTACTTGTCATTTGCACCCTAAAGTATCAACTTTTATAGGTCTTGGAGTAAAAATACAACACTGGTAATGCCTATCAAAAACCAGAAATAACTACAGCACATTAGAAAAACATCTTTACAGTTCTATTAAAAAAATACAGTGTATTTATAATATAAATATACATGTGCAGTGTGCACTATTTATAGGCTTCATTTTGTACACTGTCACCAGCTGCCTATCACACATCGCTCTGAATTTCCAGAGAATACTAAAAGACACTAAAAGATATTTATGTTATGGTATTTGCAAACATGCATGAATTTGCAGTTCATGATATTATGGTTAAGGATTAATGTGTTTACATAGATTCCTGAACCTTTTACAGAGGTGAATTTCACTTTTGGCACCTTATATATTTTTGCTCTTGTAGTCTCTATTGCTACAGTGTGTGACTGACTTGCCTTGTGCACAGTATAAAGTAAGAAAATAACCTTGAGCAATTTAATGGCATTTAAAGTTATTAGCTCAAATATGCTGAGTGTGCAGAAGGTTCAGCAATGCCATGGTCTACTGAGCATCCCAAATCTTAAAAGAACCTGTTCCATCTACTTTTTTATCCCTTAAGAAACAGATGTAGCACAAAACAACCAACCCTGCCAATTTTAAATAACTGCTTACAGCTGCACATGAGAAAAAAAAACATGAGGATCTTTTATTGTTCATAAAAATAAGACAACAGAAGTCATTTTTAGTTTCATTTTCAGGGTCATAGTAGAAATCCTAAAAGAATTACCAAAAAATATTTTAAAATTAAAAAGCTTCAAAGCTACTTCTTTGAATCTTTTAAGGATTTCAAAAATATTGAATACATATTCTCTAGTCACAATAAACAAGTATACAATTAATCATATTTAATTCACTATCATCAACATATTCCTGAGAGAAAAAAATCACCATTTGCATACAGTATAACGAAAAACAGAATTTGCCAGCCATAGCAGACCTGTGTCTTTCATAATATCCCTGTATCATTCCTGTCATAGCATCACATCTGTCAAGTCCCACAGAAAAAAGACAACAGAAACAAAACTCATCCAGAAACTAGGTTCACACCTTCCCCCTTCTCTCAATGATACTTAGTTTTGTGTAATCTTCTGTATTCTCATGCAGGTTTTGACTTCACACCTTTCTTCACCCCTCTCCACTTTGCACTTCATGAGTGGTCTCTCTGCCTCTCCCCTCTCCCTCCTCCTCCACTTTTCCAGCTTTTTGTTCTCCTGTGCTATTTAATCTTTGACATCTACCCTGTCTTTCTCACACCTGAAGAAGGCTCCACGGCCGAAACATTGTGTTCCTTTCTTTTCAGCATGGAATAAACCCGTTACCTGTTCCTTTGCAGCCTACGAATGCTGACGCAGCTACCTACTTGAACATCTTTACAAAAGTCTTACATAATAAATCCAAATACTGTACAGTATATCCGAATGATAATTTCTAATGTGCTGATCCATATCAGTGACAGACATCTCAACCTTTCAAAGCAAAGGAGGAAACCTGCTCTTTGTGGTGTAATGGTATTGCATAGAAACAAAGTTGAGACTTTCTGTGAGTTGAGACGTCAGGTTCCAAGGCCCCAGCACTGCGAGGCAGTAAATGATAACCACCTATTAAATATAATCAATATGCCACCCTATATATTCAAGTTCATGTTTATTGTCATTATACTCATAGACAGGTACAGTATACGGTATAACGAAATGCTATTAAGCTAGCTATCAGATGGTAAATTGTGCAAAAACAGAAGATAGAGACAACAGGCAATGTGCAAAACAACAACAGTTGTGCAAAATCATACGTCAACAGAATGAAATAAATGATACAAAATTATGGAGAGTAAATGTCTTGACATGTGAGGTAGAGGTAGATTTCAATGTGTGTTTGAGTTTTGAAAAAGAGAGGAGGCACTGTAAGGGTTCAGAACACAGGTGAGAGTGGGTGGGAGTTTAATAGTTTGATAGTACAAGGGTAAAAACTGTCTCTGGGTCTGGTAGTCTGGGCCCAAATGCTCCGGTACCATTGTCCAGATGGTAGAGGGTTAAACAGTCTGTGGGGTCTTTGATGATGCTTAGAGCTTTCCTCAAGCACTGTCTGTCATAAATGTACCGTGGATGGGAGAGCCACCCTGGTGATGGACTTGACTCCAGTGATTACTTTAAACCATAATTTTTATTTAGAATTCTTTACAAATTCATAATTTGTGATTTTGTCATTTCATGTTTTTGTCAAGTTATGCATTTAAACTAGTGCAATAAGACGTATGAAACAAATTGACCCATGAAACCTTATACTAGAACTAGGAGTCAACTGATTATACTCCCAAAACAAAGCAGTTTATGACGCATAGACATTATCCCTAAAACTAAATGTGAAGCCGCCGGCATTACAAAACAACAATTAAAGTCTGCAGATATTTAAAATACTTAACATTACAATTTCAAAATGAACAATAAAACCTGAACTATTCATCATGCATCATATATATAAACATAAAGTACAGTATATATACAGTATGAGAACACTCAGACAGAATTAGAATAGAGATAAATATATTGTGTTTTATTGCTTGCATTTCAAGTGCTACCTAGTGGAAAAGGCAGAATGATATTGAGCACATTAGGTAATTCATTTACACATCCATAAACCATGCATATTAACCAGTTTCATTGAATATTTACTTGAATTACACAGAATTCTGCAAAAAATAGCACACTGGGAATTACTGTGCATATGTGGATATAGATATGTTTATTATGTATTCATCTATTTACATTGTCTCACACAGAGTATTTTTACTCTAACTTTTAGTTAATCTAACTAGCATGGACTATGTAACACATTTTAAAAAGCTATAGTTATGTAAGACCTAAATACTGTATTTCTAAGAAATACACATGTGAATTTTATCATTCAATAGGTGCTAAAAGGATTTCCATTTCTATTAACCAAAACCAAATCTGGTACTTGTCAGTATTGTTTTTCTTTTTTTCAATTACACTAAGATTTGTGTTTGGACCACTACTCTTAAGTATTGCATTAGTATTTAAAAAAGAATAAAATGAGTAAGGTTTATGGGCCTCCTACACACAAGAGGCTTGCAAAAACATAAAACATCCTTTGATTTTAATGAGGAATCATCTGGGATGCTTAATCTCTAAGATGTACTTTATTAATTGCTACCACTGAAACAGTAGTGTCTAGCAAACACTTAATTGGGCGATACAGCCATAAAATCCACATACAAGGAGAAGCTCAATAAGATATAAATCATGGAACTGTGTATACCAATGTTAGTGGTTCCAAGTTATCTTTTTTAGGTGCAAGATGGGGCCATGATAATATACTTATTTACTGCCACAATGACAAAATCATGTTTTCTGATTAAGGATTCTCATTCTGCATTAAATAGGCTTGTATTGTTCCTTACCTGTTTCGCATCTGATGCCAGTAAAACCTTGCTGACAGATACAAATGTTCGGAGAAATACAGGTGCCCCCATTTTGACATCCATCTTCGCAGAAAGCTAAGCAATGAACCATAAAAAATATTATTCTAAAATTCCACATGAATAAAAAAAAATATTCCCACCTAGTGCATTTGTATTATTATTTCTCTCCATTTCTCTATTTTGGACACTATAACAAATTATGTAACTGTAGATAGACATTACAGAAATCTGTCTATTAAATTGTCATTTACACTTTGATCCATATTTTTCTAACTGCCTCTATGAGGACTTCTCAATACTAAGGACACATGGTTTACTTAAGTGCTTTACAAGTTCTATACAATTGGCCTCTACAGTATATACTGTACAGTAGGTCAGAAAATCCTTGGTATTTATGTCTGACAGAGCAGAGAAAAGGATGGTTTTCATGTTGTGTTTACTTTTCTGACATACAGAAGAACAAAATGGTGGACAAAAAATAAATCGGTGGACAAGAAATGGGTTTAATGTAAAATATTGATTGAATTCTCTTACCTTTGCATAGAGTACCATTACCAGTGTATCCGGGTTTACATGTACAACTGTGGCCTCCTACAGTGTTGAAACACAAAGCATTTTCATCACAGCTGTGTTGTCCAGTCATACACTCATCATGCTCTGAAATAAGAAAGACATTCAGGAATGTACTGTAACAGTTGCCATCCATTGCTTTCATTTGCAATTTCTAATCGGACTTTGTCAAGAAAGTAATAATTTGTGTGTACAATTCTAATTCTAGTTTACGAAAAAAAAAAATTTTGTTTATCTTGTAAAAATATTCAAGCCTTGGATGTAAAAAAATGTAGTTCTGAGCATTCATTTTAGAATTTAGTAACAAAGGGACAGAACTGATTGGGTAATACACATAAATATAAGTGAGATATACTGTACTGTATACTGTATATAAATTATAAAAAACATATTTTGGAACAGAATACTTTATCAATTTCTGACTTCAGCAAATTCTAGATCTATAAAGTCCCCTTACTAATTGTTATTTAATACACAATTTACAAAGAAAAAAAATAACATTTTGATTAAATCCAGTCATTCTACATTTTGCATTTTGGACAGTTCTATCTTTTCTGCCTGTTGTTTACCATCCTTTGTATTTTCTATGGGACTCCCATTTCTGCAAATTTAAACTCACAATTAACAAATACACTCCAACTGACCATTAGTGAGATCTTAATCCCACAAGGGATACAGCTTCAATCCATGCTGTTTGGTGCTGCAGATGCTTTCATGAATATTGCTGTTTGAAATTTTGAGCCATAGAGCCTACAGCCATTAGTCTCTGAATTCTGGACTAAAACATTATTAAAGCAAGAATTTAAAAACAAGAAGTAATGTAAAAATGTGAGTCAATAGTCCTAGGTGTATGAGGCTGATAAATTATGTAAAAACACAATAAAACACAGCCAGTAAAATATATTTTCCCTTTCTTTAAAGCATTTTGTAACAACAGATATTTTAGGTCACAGCATTACACCATTAATGTAGAACATTATATGTTTCGCATCAGTATTAAGAACATGATTATTTGTATGTGCCCCAATTGTGAAATTGACACATTTTGAATAAATCAGCTGCAGTCCCTATTGCAGTGCAGGAGAAATTTATACAACACTCACATGACATACAATAGGCCAGGCAATTGTTTTCACCCAACAGTATGTAACCATGAGGACAACAGAAGAGCTAGAATAAGACAGATGGAGGGTTGATTTAGCACTCACTTACAAATCCCATGCTTACCCATTCCCAACAAAATGCAGGGGTCTCTTTTGCTCAGTGGCGAGCATCACACTCCACAGCCACATGACTAACAGACAGTTGCCCTTAAAGGAATCCCAGCTGTCCCTACCAAATTCAAACCAGCAATTTCTGAACTATAATGCACACCATAATCTCCAAGCAAGATTTTAACTGGCCAGGCTACTTTTGAACAACACATATTTGTGTTAGGCATTTACTAATTATTTAATCCTTTAGAAGTCAGATAATTATTTGCCTTTTAGAAGCACAATTATTGCTTTGAGTCATTGACAGTATGTACGGTAGTATTCAGAAAAATGTGAGCCTGTTTTAATTGTTTACAGTATCTGTCATTAACTGGAAAATGACAGACTGTTACATTAATATATGTAACATGCTGTTACATTAATATATAAATCCTTATGCCATCTTTATAATGAACATTAAAGGCCTTTTTTAGCATATAGCACAGTTCTGTATACTCCTCATTTAATTGTATCTTTTTTTAATTTATACCTCATAGGCACAGGTATTAGATAAAGGCTAGTCAAATAGTAATGTATTGCTGTATATTCTCTGGCATTTGTAATCTTGTATTTTTCATCAATTCATTCATTCATTTTCTAACCACATCTTTCAACTCACGGTCACTGAGGAACCGAAGCCTATCCCAGCAGGCAATCGGCGCAAGGCAGGATACACCCTAGATGGGACACCAGTCCATCTTAGGGCATCAAAGGGCAGACACACAAACACAGACAAGCACACACTCCCACCTACAGTAGGGCCAATTTTCTAGAGAATAATTATCCTGCCAGTATGTTTTTGAAGCATGGGAGGAAGCTGGAGCACCCAGAGAACAGAAACTCATCCAGAGAACAAAATCCATGCTGATACAGTAGCACCTGAGGTCTAGAAATTAACCCTGGGCCCCAGCACCACAAAACAGCAGTTTCACTGTGCTGTGCATTTTGTATTTTTATTTTCTCCAAAATTATTTAGCAAAATATAGAATTGTTTCTTTAGGAGTCATATTTTCAGACTGAAAAACAATATGTTGGTTATTTTGATTCACCCATGAATTTCATAAGGCCTTAGCAATGACCATGAAAACAAAGACATTTCATAATATTAAAAAATATTACTGCTTCAAATATTTTGTCGTAATTTTAGTTTTGTCTTCATTTTATTGAGTAATTAGGCAATAATATACTTATCAATGAGTTGTGTGTCAAGATAATTTTGACAAATTTTTATTAAAATGAATTCATTGTCTTGCATATGGTGCTTTAATCCAGCATCTTTAGATGTTGTTTAGGAACAAGCAGAGGTTAATGCTGCGAAGTGAGAAGAAAAAACATTTAATTTGCAGAGCAGGTGAGCAAAGGAGAAATGGAGAGATCAGAAATATAAGGTAAAAGCATGGGAGAGAAAGGTGAAAGAAATAAAACAGTAGGTACAGGTTGAAAACTGAGCTAAACATATTGAAATTCTGAAGATGAATTCCAGTTTAAAAGTGTAAGGCAGGGAGGGATATGGAATGAAAAATGAATTGAGATAGAAAAATAAGTAAGCATTGTGTTGAGTGTTGCTGGGGATATATGAAGCAAGACTAAGGAAATTTGTGACTTTCTAATGTCTTGATTACACATGAAAAGACAGACACAAAGATCAGTGTAACCTTGGTCAAGAGGGATAAAATGGAGGACTGTTTGTTTGTAGAGTTACAGTGTTTGATACTTATTGTCTCACGTTCCCTGAAAGGGTTGACCAGTTTTCTTCCTGTTTCAACAATGTGAATGAGAACTGCATGAAATAAGTTTGCATGATCAAGGTACCAGGAAATAGGGATCCTGGAAAGGCTGCAGCAATCCCAAGTTTGACAAACTCGCATTATGATAAATTCTGTTTCATGTTGACAAAATTTACTCTGAAAAAAATGTTCTACAGCATACCTGTGGTCTGTGTGGTTTTTTAGTTTTAATCACATTCAGATCATATACTAATCATTTCTGTCTGTCACAGTTGCTGGGCATTATAAAAATAACATAAGTGCAAAACCATTAAATTGAAAATTTTAAATTACTGTTCTGTTTGACAAAGTAGCTGTACAAAACTGTATTTTAGACGTCTTTGTAAATTCCTCAGTTGAAAAAAAGCAAAAGCCAACACAAATACAATTACCAGGGATGTTTGTTCAAGGACCAATTCAAGTGCACAATCACTGAAATGATCATGAATTGTTATGGCAGGACAAGAAGCAAGCTGTTAATATAACGAAACCCTCAACTGACACCAACTTGAAGCAATTTTTTAAGGAGAAATGGACCAAAATTTATTAAAGCGGATGCAAGGAACTGATAGACAGATATGGGGAACAACTAGCTGAAATCATTGCTACCAGGTAAGATTGCTGTGCAAGGAGTTGCCACCAGTTCAGTTCATCCTTTATTAAAATTTTCACGAAGATATTTAATTATGTTTAAGGTATAAAATACACAAGAATATGGACCAGCCTAGGGAGTTCACAAACCTTTTTCTCAGCACTGTAAGCGTGTAAGGAGTAATATTCACATTATTAAGACGGGTTGTTTTGGCCATGGCCCGTTGGGCCCCTGAGCAAGGCCCTTAACCTCAACGGCTCCAGGGGCGCTGTACAATGGCTGACCCTGCGCTCTGACCCCAAGCTTCTCTCTCCCTGTCTGTGTGTCTGTGTCTCATGGAGAGCAAGCTAATAGGGCTTAAAAAATGATCTTATCTTATCTTATTTTGTTGTAGGGGTTTTTGTGAATTTACTGGGTAGTAAATCAGGACGTGATTCTTTTATGGCTACCAGAAAACCAATTGTCAGAACAGTTAGCGACACAATACACCGAACGCATTTAACATGCATATAAAAACATATAACAGTCTACCTGGATACAGATGACAGATTTTATTTTGAGGGTGACCAAAATTAAAGATGTTTAATCATGAAGAGCTACAAAACAAGGAATACTCATTCAGTATACCATTCAGCTATACTGTTTTGTTAATCAGTCTCATGAATACAAATTCTACACTAGATACTCAAAAGTAAATATCAACTTGTGTTGAGATACAGTTGAATTCTTGAGGTAGCAACGCAGAATAATGGGCTACTTATCCAGATATGGATTTGTATTTCCCGAGGCACGAACACAAAGACCCGCTGGCAGGCTCTGTTGCAGTGTTGTCCAATCAGCTTCCTCGGGCCCGGTTCTGGCTCGGTTTGAAACCAAAGCTCTGAGTCGTGGAAGAAGAAAGGAGAGATTTCTGCTGCTGCAGCGTGCTAGACAGCGTTCTCTCCAAGGACCTACTAATAGCGTGGCTGATTAGTAGTTCTCTGTGCACAGCTGGTGACTACGGTCCAAGCAAACACTCTTTGGGGGGGAAGGAACTCGGTTTGCTTCCAGCGTAGAGCTAGGGCTATATAAAAACTTATGCAGATTGTTGACAAAGAGTCCAACTTGGCGTTCACGGTGGCGCCAGCAATTCACAAGAGCAGCTGCAGGCAAAACCTTGGGTAGATCTGTCTTTACATACGAGCTTCCTCTGGCCTAATTCTTGGAACAAGTGTGAGTACTAGCACTCACACAACACTGGCAGTCATGTGATTGTCCAAGTTGAGCACGAGAACAGACAGAGTAGCAAGGTCTGAGGCCTCTGCATCTGTTTTTAACGAGGAACAACATGGTTGTTGATTACAATTAATAATAATTATAATTATAATTAATAGATTGGTCGAGAGTTTGGCGGGCATTCAGGACCCACGCGCTCTGCAGGTTCCTGACTGGTTGGTTCCTTCTAGGGATGAGTAACAATGAACTCTGACCCAAGGA